GGATCAAAGATCTTTTTTTTTTGGCTTTTTCTTTTTTTATCAGTACCAGGGATCGAACTCACGACTGCCTGCTTGCAAGGCAGGAGCTTATGCCGCTGAGCTAAATCCCCAGCCCTAAAGATCTTAATATTAAATAGAAACATTAAATCCGCTGGAAGATAGAGTAGGTAAAACTCTTGAAGACACAGGTGTAGGCAAAGACTATAAACAAAACCCAGACTACAAAGGAACTGGCACAAAGAATCAACAACTAGGGTCTCATCTTACTGAAAAGCTTTTGCACAGCAAGAGAAACCACCAACAGAGAGAAGAGACAATCTACAACATGGGAGAAAATGTTTGTCTGCTATTCCTTAGACAAAGGATTACTATCTAGAACATGTAACTATGGTTATGATCCTGAGACTAAGGTTCCGAATTCGCAAAGGAAATCACCCAGTTCTCCTAAGGAAAAAAAGAACATCACTGGATTGTGTTTTTTGACTCTGATGGAACACTGAGAGTTGAGGTTCTACAATGAATACTACAGTGAACTCTAAATACCTTGTGTTTATCAGAGCATTTAAGAAACTATGCATGAGGGCTGGGGATTTAGATCAGCAGGCATAAGCACCTACCTTGCAAGCAGGCAGTCCTGAGTTTGATCCCTGGTACTGATAAAAAGGAAAAAGACAAAAACAAAAACAAAAAACCCCACAAACTATGCATGTAGAAAATGGCCTGAGAAACAGCAAATGTAACAAACAAACAAACATTATGATGTGTGTCCTCATCCAACTTAGCTTATGTTTTATTTTTTTTATTTTTTTTTTGGCGGGGGGGAGTTGGTACCAGGAATCAAACTCACAACTTTGTACTTACCCAGCAGGCACTGTGGCACTGAACTATATGCCTGGCCTGTTTTTTTTTTTTTCTGGCACTAGTAATCAAACTCATGATCTTGCACTTGCCAGGCAGGTGCTTGCTACTGCGTTATATATCCTGACCCTATGTTTGTTTTTCGGGACAGAGTTTGCTATCTAGTTGGCATTGGCTTTGAACTTTCACTCTGTAGTCCACAGTGGTTTCCAACTCACAGCAGTCCTCCTGCCTTAGCTCCCAGAGTACTGAGATTATAAGCATGCATCTCCATGTCTGGCTTCTCATTCTTTTTATTGGCCAGATTTGGCATTATGTGATGTCTGGCTTGTAGCAAGCCATTGAAGCTGGGGATTGATCACATGTGTGAGGCCAAAGGCAGGCCAACCCTAAAAACACAGAGAACCTAAAACAAGCCACCTGAACAAGTTGGTCCAGTTCCAAGAAGGTAAGGGACCTAGGCTAGCCAGGCAAACAAGTTGCTAGGCAGTGGGTTGGAAATTGACACTATCCTTCTGCCTATGTAAATAAATCTGCTGCAGTGGTTGAGCAATATCTTCTCTCCCATCAAGACAGAGAGTTCCACCTGACTCCAGATTTCATCTTTTTTATTTTCTCATCTTATCGTTGTCCTTCCCCCAGGAACACCCAGAACTGCAGCAGGTCACTATACTGGCTCTTTTCCAAAGTCAAAATAACTATGGAATGAGTGGGCCATTTAGTGAGTTGAATCAATTCTGGACATGGAGGGAGCCATGATCATGTGAGGAAAAAATGAAAAAAGATGTTCAGAATTGCTTCAGCAGGTGGCAAGAATAATGGGTTGTGTTTGAATTGTGGTGAGTATTCTGAGGGGGGTTAATGGCAATGTGTCTCTTACTATAATTTTACAGGCCAGGCATAGAGGTGCACATCAATGATCCCAACACTCAGGAGGTTGAGGCAGGATGATTGCTATGAGTCTGAGATCAGGCTGGGCTACAAAGTGAGTTCAAGGCCAGCCTGAACTGGATAGTGACAAAAATAAAATGAAATTCACATTTTTTGATCACATCATTTGATCATAGGAATGCTCCCTAGCCATAAAAGGGAAGGTAAATTCCGATATACACAACACAGATAAATCCCAGAATCATTAGCAGCTAGACACAGCCACGCATGATTAGCAAGCCTGTAATCCCAGCGCTCAAGAAGCTGAAGCAAGAGGAGTCCTGCAAGTTTGAGGACAGGCTCCTTATCTCAACACACACACACACACACACACACACACACACAGATGCAACAGTATGTGTCCATTTACATGTGATTCTAGAAAGCATTAACTCACACAGCAACCCAAAGTAGATCAATAGTTCCTTGGATCCAGGTGCAGATGAAACAATGGATTGTAGAGAAACAGGAAGAATCTTATAGGGATGGATGACGGAAATGTTCTGGATGATCTTGATAGCACTGGTGATTATACAGTTTTTAAAACTCAGCAAATGGGGCTGGGGATTTAGCTCAGTGGCATAAGCGCCTGCCTTGCAAGCAAGCAGTCGTAAGTTCGATCCCTGGTGCCGATAAAAACGAAAAAGACAAAAAAAAAAAAAAAAAAAAGATTGTAAAACTCAGCAAATTGATGGGTGTGGTTGGCGTGTAATCCTGATTCTCTGGGAGACTGAGTCAGGAGGGCCTAAAATTTGAGTCCAGTTTGGGCAAATTAGAGACTAAGAGAGATACCATTTCAAAAATAAATAAATAAATAAGGATTGGGTATGTGGCTCAGTGCGCAGATCCAAGATTAAATCCCAGGCACAGAAAGAAAAAAATATATACCTAAGGAAAGAAAGGAAAAGAAAAATGGGCTGGGGCTATAGCTCTGTAGTACAGCACCTGCCTGCAAAGCATAAGGTCCTGAGTTTGATTGCTGGTACCAAAAATACAAACAAACCAGAAAAACAAATTGTAGCATTTACCTTGATGTGGAACATTATACACAAAATACATCTGAATAAATTAGGTTTTTAAACTTTTCTTTGTATATTAAAAATTGTCGGAAAAAAAAAAATGTCAGGTCAGGGATTTAGTTCAGTGGCGTAAGTAACTGCTTGGCAAGCTCCAGGTAGTGAGTTCTATCCCCAGAAACCCTCCCCCGCAAAAAAGTCCCATTCCAGTGATTGAATTTTTTTTTACAAGCTGTTGCTATGTAGCTCAGGCTGTACTGGAATTCATTGTGTAGCCAAGGGTGGCCTCAAAGCGATCCTCTTGCCTCAGCTCCCCTCCCAAGAGCTGGATCACAGGCATGGGACACCATGCTTGGCAAAGTAATTTTAAATAGCAAAAGGTCACTGATTTAAAACTGCAGACCCTTTGAACCAGCTTGGATTATACGACGGATTTTATCTTCATCCCACCGAGTTTTTTCCCTCACTAAAGTCTAAATTATTTTCTTTTCCTGACTGCCAGATAGGTAGGTGGGAGAGGCAGGCACACCTTTTGTCTTTTTTTTTTTTTTTTTTAACTTTTTATCGGTACCAGAGATCAAACTCACGACCGACCGCCTGCTTGCAAGGCAGGTGCTTATGCCGCTGAGCTAAATCCCCAGCCCCCCAGCTTTTGTCTTTAATAATTCTCTATTCTTTGACATGAAAAGGATGCCAGGATCATTTACACCGAATCCCACCTTTCCAATCTTAAAAAGCTGAACAGTTAAAACAAGTACAATTAACAACGTAATACTTGTGAAATGCAGGACACATATTGGTGGCACACACCTCATTACAATTCAGTTCCTTGCTTCTGTTCAATTTCTTTTTAGGGCGGGTACTGGGAATTGAACTCACGACCTCGAGCTTGCCAAGAAGGTGCTTGTGCAGCTGAGCTATATTCCTGGCCCTATCAATTTTTTTTTTTAATCGGTACCAGGGATCGAAGTCACGACCACACACTTGAAAAGAAGGCGCTTATGCCGCTGAGCTAAATCCCCAGCCCCTCTGTCTTCAGTTCTAAGTGAATGTCTTTATCTCACTCCTAAGGGTTTGGAGTTTGTCAGATCTGGCGGAAGATCAGCATAGTGAGGTGCACAAGCCCTAAGTGAATTAATTTACTTTCTTCCTTTTTCTGCTTCTCGGTATCAGGACTCGAACTCATGACCCTGTACTTGCCAGGCAGACACTTGCGACTTTCTTTTCAAAATTGTGGTACTGGCAACTGAATCAAGGCCTTACACATGCTTGTGAAGATTACATAGTGTGTAGAAATGAGATAAAAATAATAACGATAGTTGCAGCGCACCAGTAGACTGCTATTCTAGAAGCTGAGGCAAGAGAATCAGGCCCACGAGTTAGGGACCAACATGGTGCGACCCCATCTCAAAAACAAGCAGGAATAACCACAGCTAACAGTTACTAATATTGTAATGATATATATATTTTTTTTGTCTTTTTCATTTTTATCGGTACCAGGGATCGAACTCACGACTGCCTGCTTGCAAGGCAGGCACTTATGCCGCTGAGCTAAATCCCCAGCCCCTGTAATGATATTTTAGACATCTAGAAAGCATAGGCCAAAGAGAAAAACAATTTTCCCACAGAACCCCACTAAGATGATCAGTCCTCTACCTGGAAAACTCAGGTGGGCAGCCTTATCTTTGCTCTAAGATCCACCCCAAAGCTCCGCCCCCGCATCTGGGTCCTAGTCCGGGCCCTATCCGGATGTCCTTGCCTAGAAAACCCGCCGTGCTCGCGACAGGAGCGCGTGACGCAGGGGGGCGGATAGATAAGCAGAGTGCACCCGGATAGGCCAATAGATTTGGGCGGAAGGGGCGGGTCAGGTCAGGGGGCGGGGTTTTGCCCTCCGCCGGGTTTGGGGCTGGGCTTCCGCGTGCGTTGGTCTGGCGGGCGAGAGCGGGGGCGGGGGCGTGTCTCCAGGGTGGGGCGGGGCGGGGCGAATCTGTGGGGGGCGGGGCGGCGCGCGGCCTAACGGCAGTGGCTGACTCCGCGGTGGCATTGGTGTTGCCGAGCTGTGCGCCGGCGGTTCCCGCGTCGGCGCCTGCGAGGAACTCGGGCCGTAGGCCGAGGCGGGCGGTGCACGGCGGGCGACGCTCTGCGATGGTGGGCGTCCCTGGAGCGGCCGCCTTCCAGCGTAAGCGGGGCGGGAAGGCGGGCTGATGAGGGGGGCGTGTGAGGGGCCTGCAGCGCCGTCGCGTGCCTCGAGGATCCTGAGGGCCCCCACCCTGCCACGGCGCGAGGCCGGGATGGGGAAACTGAGGCCCGAGGCAGGGCAGCGGACCCAAGGTCACGCGGCGGTCCCAGCATTCTTCGGCCCCCGAGGCCACCCTGCGGCTTCCAGCGGCGCCAGAAGGCTCGCGGCTCCTGGTGGGGAGAGGTTGCGGGGACCGGGGCCTCGGAGCGCAGGCCGGGCGCGCGTTCACTGACGCGCCGCGGACAAGTATTGTTTTGTTCTTGGGCTGGGGTCACAACTCTGTCTCGGAGAAAGACGTAGTACACACCCCGCGTTGAAGGGACATGTGGTCGGTGTTGGGGAGGTGCGGCTAGCGCCCCGAGGAGCCTGTAGAGAGCGGCTCGGGGCCCGAATCGCCTGGTTTCGCGTCCTGGGTCCCCCACCGGCTATCTGTGACCTTGGCTGTCTCTGGGTCTCAGTTACCGCGTCTGAAGAATGGGACTGTGATGAGTTCCCTGCAGTCCTCTAGAGCTGCTAAGGTTAGTGAGGTCCGCACAACGCTTGGTGCAAACCTTGGCACGTACACAAGCGTGAAAACTGTCAATTGTGTTCGCGGTTTAGTTGCCTTCTTTGTAAACCTTACTTGGAAAAGTCAGAAACTGGACTTGGGTCGTGGATTTGTTTAGGATTTTATTTTCTGGGCTGTTAGACCTGATCTAGGGGGCAATTGTTATTTTTATTTCCTCGAGACATTCCAATATCTGTGTCGTGTGCCACCTAAAATTGTGAGGTCCTTGGGAGGAGGGGTGGCATCCCTTAATAAGAACAATAAAATTTTAATTGTTTCTCATTACAATGACAGTAACAGCCGACTTGTTTCTTTTTTTCTTTTTAAGCACTGGGAATTTTGCACTCTAATTCATTTAATATTTATTAAACTATCTCTAAGTAAAAAGAACCACTCTAGGCTCTGGAATATAGCAACAAACAACATACACAAGGCTCAGGTTTTGAGTTTAGATGGAAGAGGGAAGAAATTTAGTAAATGAAAAAAACCGATAAATCTATTTTGTATGTTTCTTGTTTAAGTCTGGCAACAGTGTAAATAAAAGTTAAGTATGCCCATTTTATAGAGGATGAGACTGAGGAGCATTAGGAACTCAGCTCTACCTAAAAGGTACTATGTTATTCACATTTTATTTATATATTTATTTTTGGATACTGGGGATATAACTTACAACCTTGCCTTTGCCAAGACTGGCGCTTACACCACTGAATTAAATCCCACACGCTGTTATCAAGCATTTGCTTTTCCTCTTTGTTTGGTGCTTATTAAATGTTGAATTGAAGAAATACAAAGTAGATTCACCCAGTTAAAGTCTTTTCTTAGGTTGGCAGTTTGCACTCTTATTTTGATCCATTCCTTTTGGAATTTATAACTAAAGAGAAGCAGACAGGTGACTCTTTAGATCTGACAAAGAAATACTCTCAGTATAGGAAAAAGACCTTTTCTCTAAATTTATTTATTTTTGTTCTGCATACTGGAGATTGAATCCAAGGCTTTTGCATTGAATTAACCCAGCCTTTTGGGTCTCCCTGAGTTGCTAGGGCCATTTTTTCTCCTGCTTCAGCCTTCCTCAGTGCTCAGATGACAGATGTATACCATCATGCCCTGTTGAATTTAAATTTTCCAGTTTGAAATATGCCCAGAAGCACAGCTACTTCTGGTTGTTATTTAAGTTATTTTTCTTTTATTTTCCTAAGGGAATTCTATCTTAAATTCCAAGACTGTGCTTTTTCTGTACTTTTTCTTTTCATCTAGAAAAATGTATGAATTGTATCCAAATGCAGTGGTAGCCAGAAATTTGTGATGCACACCTGTCATCCCAGCACCCTGGGAATGTGAGGCAGGAGGATCATAAATACAAGCTCAACCTGGGCTACGTAATAGCAAGACCCTGTCTCAAAAAAGGGGTTGGGACATAGACCTGGATTTAATTCCTGGTACTCCCCTCCCTACCACACACAAAATGAAGTGGTACTGAGAAGATTTCTTTTTTTTTATGAAGGTCCTTAATGACACATTCACCTTCAACATTGACCATCTGCTGTGCATTACAGAAGCTTATCTAATGTTTGTCTTGTTACTTTTGGTTTTTTGAGACAGGGTTTTGCTATGTAGTTCAGTCTGGCCTTGAACTCACCATGTAGCCCAGGCTGGGCCTCAAATTTAAGGCTGTTCGGGCTGGGGATTTAGTTCAGTGGCATAAGCGCCTGCCTTGCAAGCAGGGCAGTCGTGAGTTCGATCCCCGGTACCGATAAAAAGGGAAAAAGACCAAAAAAAAAAAAAAAAAAAAAAAAATTTAAGGCTGTTCTGCACCAGCCTTTGAAGGGCTAAGCTTGCAGGCATCATTTCTGCAGCCAGTGTCTTTCTTTTTCTTTTTTAACATATAGTCTTGATTGGTTTTTATAGTTTTTAACTGTAGTACTGGGAAAAGAGAACATAGGAAGGAGCTCAGACCCTGAAGTAGAGTCCCTGGGGATGCAGTCTAGCATGCTGGCTTCAGGTATTCATTCTGTCAGGAAATGTAGTTAAATACACACACACACACACATACACACATAGGAATATTTGTTTGGTTGTACATTGTTTTACATTTTACAACTTGTGCAGAAATACCTGTTTTACAGAAGGGTGAGCAAAGAATAGGTAAAAGTCGTTAAGTTTTGTATTTAATGCATTATTTAACCTTTATTTTTTTCATCTAAAAATTTAGATGAGTTTCTACTTCACTTGCAGTTTTATTACAGTGCGAATATAGGCTAGGATGGCATACATGTTGGTTTATGTAAAGTACTTAAATAGTGTTTGAAACAGTTTTGGATGCTGTAGTGGTTACAAGTATTTAGATTTATTAAGAATCTCTCAGTTTATAGGGGCTCTGCACAGATAAACTGGTAGTAATAAAGTGCTGAAAGCACTGTAAGTAAAGGAAGGTAGAGGAAGCATAATTTTTAGTTCTTTTGAGTGTCCAAGTAAGCACCAGATAAAGAGGTGATACTCAAACCAGGCCTAAAGAAGGAAAGGGGTTTTTTTTCCTTAAGAAATAAAAGAAAGGTGCTGTACCATACTGTCTGAGGATACAGTGTGGAAAATTTGGAGACTGGAGCACTTGGTGAGGGCAGTTCATAAGAAACCTGAGTGAAGCTTATATATCTTGTTAACAGTGTAACAGTGAATTCAGGTTGGAGTTGTGGCTGGCACAGGCCAGATGGGAAGGAAACCTATTCCAGAACTTTTCACCGCACCACAGTTCTTTCCTCTCCTTGATGTTTACCTTATTCTGCCTATTTAGTTGTCTAAAAAGTTAAGTTTCTGAGGGTGTGGGGATATATAGCTCAGTGGTAGAGCACTTGCCTACTATTCTGTCTTGGGTTGGATTTGTAGATTCTTTTAAAAAAGAAAGAACAAAACAACAAATTAGAAGAACTAAAAGCTCCAGGTAAGCACATTCCAAATTGGTTATTGCCTCATGGTGGTTCTACTTATGTATGTCATACTGATATATTTAGGCCCCACAAAAAGTAAGATTAAGAGGCTGAGGCAGGAGGATCCTTGTGAGTTTGGGGTCATCCTGGACTACAAAGTGAGTTCAAGACTAGTCTGAACTGCATAGTTGAGACCCTATTTCAAAAAGACAAAAAAAAAAAGACCAAAAAAAAAAATTGAAAGCAGTATATTCTGGGGCCTGTTATCCTTGAGATTTATATGCTTCCAGCAGCTCTTGAGTTTATCACTGAGCAAGTAGTGTTCTTGCTACGCAATTAGGAATTTTTTTTTTTTTTTGATACTGGGGATCAAATTCACAATCTTGTTCTTTTTTTTTTTTTGTCTTTTTCCTTTTTATCGGTACCAGGGATCGAACTCACAACTGCCTGCTTGCAAGGCAAGCGCTTATGCCGCTGAGCTAAATCCCCAGCCCCTACAATCTTGTTCTTGCCTGGCCCCTCAATTAGGAAGATTTAAATTATGGTTAGAAACCTAGTTTAGTTTAAGAAGGCAGGGATATACATGAGCTAGGTTGTTTGACATAATGAAAAAAGCAGAATTTGGAGCTTGAGACCTGTTTGTCCTGGGAAATTACTCAACCCAACATTTAATGGTTTGTTTAATCTGTAAGTGGAGATAATTCCTGCTTAATAACAATAATGACTAACTGAAATTTTATTTTGAGCTAGATGCCAGACCATGCATTATACTGACCCTTTACTTTTTAGTTCTCCCTTTACTAGTTCCGGTTGACCTTGAATTCACTGTCCAGGATAGCCCAAATTTGTGGAATCCTCCTGTCTCAGCCTCCTGAGTGCTGGGATTATAGGAGTGTGCCACCACACCCATCTCTTTTTGTTTCTGGTGTTTTTTTTTTTTTTTTTTTTTGCCTTTTTGAGACAGGGTCTCACTATGTAGTTCAGGCTGGCCTTGAGCTCACTTTGTAATCCAGGCTGATTTTGAACTCATAACTATGCCCCTGCCTCAGCCATCAGAGTACTAGGATTATACCACCCCTGGCTGTCATTTTAGTTTAGAATTGACTTTTCAGTGAGCTATATGTAGAATTCGGTTATAAATTTATCTGTTAAGAACAAAGTTAGCATTTGACCTCCTTTGTGTAAGGGTTGTTGACTTTGAGTATTTAGAAAGTTGGAATTTACTAGATTGAATTGTGTTTTAGACCCTTTGTCTTCAACTTTTTTTTTTAATTGGGATATTGTTATGTATATACTTTTTTATTTTTGTCTTTTTTGAGGCAGGGTTTCAACTATATGGTTCAGGCTGGTCTTGAACTCACTTTGTAGCACAGGCTACGCTTGAAATCAAGGCGATCCTCCTGCCTCAGTTTCCTGAGTGCTGGGAATACAGGTGTGTGCCACAATGCCCTGCTTGGGGATATTGTTATTTTGAGAGAGTCTTACTAAATTGCCTAGGCTGGCCTTGAATTTATAGTCCTCCTGCCTCAATCTTCCACAGGGCTCGTGCCACAACGTCTGGCTTTGTTTTCCTCTTAGTTTTTTGAATAAATTTATGTTGGTTTGGAACCAGCTGGCTTTCTCACATGTGAATAGATCCTAAAAATAAGTAGAGGCTGGGAATATAGTTTGGTGGCAGAGTATGCTTGCCTAGCATGTGTAAGGCTCTGGATTTGATCTCCCACACTGGAAAAAGAAATTAAAAGAGTTTGATGTTAGGCTTGTTTGAGTACTAAGGCTGTTATGTGGGAGTAGCCTTTATCATGCTGGGGTGGAACCAAGGTCCTCATACATACTACGCAAGGGCTCTACTTCTCAGCTACATATACCCTCAGGGTGTAATTGAAAATAGGCTTTTGGATCAATTCTTTGAATTTAATGAACATCTTTAGATAGAATGGTTTACTTGATAGTGTATAATGAATGAATGGAAGAATAGAATCAAGATGAGTCAATTTACTAAATTCCTATTACTTTCAGATTAAGGAAAACAAGAGAAAAGTGAAGAAGT